ATGTACACAGTTTGGTTAACCAATATACGTTAAGGAATCACAACCATATATAGAAACATTGTTGGCATTTCACAACTTATTTCTTTAGATTATCTCAGAAAAAAAAAAAAAAAACAATGGGATTCACAGATTTGGAATAATGGAAAGCAAACAATTTTACCGTATACATTGGATGGAATTTTTCAAAAGAATCCCGTGAAAATGAATCAGTTCAGCCCACCTGTGGAGAAAATCTTTGCTGGCTGCGCATTGAATTCAAGATGGAGGGGAGTCTGAATTTTTCAGTCAATCAAAATGTTTAATTTAAGAAAAATAGTTTTAGTTAGTTGTACATTTATCTGGAAAAAAAGGACTGCACAGGCACATGTAATGAAGATTAATTTGGAAACTTATCCTTCAATTTTTTCAAGTGCATCTATCTACTATAATTTTCAAAGTCAAACTAGTAATTAAACAGGCCCCCTGTAGGAGGATTCCACTTGCAGATGAGGAAGACATGGACTGAACACTTTGGCAAAATGGTCTAATAAGCCCTTGAACTTGCCAAGTTGATGCAAATTAGACCATAAACGTTTTTCAGAGCTAAATAACCCCGTAAATCTTTTAAGTTTGAGATCATTCAGCCCTTATTTGAAAGTTGATGTCCCCGTCCGCCGTCTGTTTTTCCGTCCAGGCTCTTATGAGTTAGTATTCCTTTCATTTCAAAGTTTGATTTTTTTATATGTATTTTTTATATAACTTTTTTATAGTATAATATTTTTAATAAAATGAAACTAGTCAACAAAAATTATATATAAATTTTCAATTATTATTTTTATATATATTATAAAAAAATACTATTATCTAAAATATTTTATTTTGTACTAATCTCTTACAGATAATCATATTCAATTCTAATTAATTCAAAATTGATATGTATCAAAATTCATAAACAAAAAATTCTTTCAATATCCCTTTTTTTATTTAAAATACTTAAACTTAAAGTTTCACTTAAGAAAAATCGGATTTTTTCTGTTCAATCGAACAAATTGTGGATTATTATCTAAAATATTTAACAACTTATATATATTTTTTATTTTTTTGTTTTTTGGTTTCCCGCACGGTATCTTGGGCTTTGCCCCGACTAATCCCGACTCGACCCGCTTCGCGCACTTGGAAGTGGTGGGTGAGTCTCCCAACGAGGGCTGTTGCGTACATAAGATCTTGAACTCAAGATCCTACTTAAACTAAAATAAACCGTTTACTACTTGATTCAATCTCTCGTTGATTTTAACAACTTATATTTTGTAACAGAGTAAGAAGAAACTTATCACTGCCTCGATGGCGTCTCACATTATTTTTAATTTTCACATGCCCCAGTAATGCAGAGATGGCGCATTAAATTGCTAAGGAACTGACACGTGGCAGCCTTTTTGTTTTTTTGACGGTAAAGCTCTGACCCCCACAAAAGCTGTTGTTGAACTTTAAACATCCCTGTTTAAGTAGCTATATAGGGTCAACGATTGGCCAACCTAGATCGTGAACGTGCGTGGAACATGTCAAACCAACTCATTTCTTGGTGACACTTGTCACTCCCACCACCATATCATCTCGGCCCATGTCCATCGTCCCTTAAAAAAAAAAGATTTTAGAGTAATTTTTTATTATATTTTAATATAATTTAACATAATATTTAAATTATTAATTTTTTTATTTATGTATAATTTATTATATTAAATATATCTACTCATTTAATAATATATAAAAATTATATTAAAATTAATATAAAAAAATTATGCCTATAGAACTGCCAACCAAAAAAAAAACCAACAATGAAGTGATGAACTGTAGAAGAAATTTCTATGATGGTAGTATGGAACAAGTTTTTATTCAAATCTCATTTTATAAAAGTTAATTTTAAGATTTAAATCTTAAAGTAATAATAACAAAATTAATTTTATTGAATATATTAAATTAATGTAAAAATATATATTTAAAATCACTTTAAAAGATATCAGTTTCTGTAAAAATTTAATTAAAGATATTTTAATGGTAAATATTAAAAAATTAAAAATAATAATTTTTTAACATTAATATCAGTAATTTCATTTAAATACAGTGATCTGAAACATAAAAATGTTTGAGTCTATAATTACAGTATTTAAATTCAAATAATACACCAAAAAAAGACACCAAGAAAAATGTCAAATTAAAAAAAAAAAATCATGGATCAGCCATGACTTCAGTAGTTGAACCAATCCCAACTTGCAACCATGGAGATGAGCTTTCACTGACATTAATGTCCTTTAATTCACTTAATTTTGCCAACTTCACCTTTCCCAGACAATTATTGTTCTTAACATTGTCAGTTTGATCAGTCTGTTGTTGTTGATGTTCGTCGACGGCCACGGTAGCTATCCATGGTGGCAAAAAAATTTCTGCTGTTGGAGCTGGAAGGTTGAGGTCAAGTTTAAGATCAAGTGGTTGAGAATTTTCAATGAACATAGGCGGATGTTGAATCTGCTCTAAGTGATCCTGAAACTGATGAAACTTATTAGCAAATGACGCTGTATCAGGTGAATTCGACGTGATCCAGTGACACCTTTTGTGACCTCCCAAAGCTTGTCCCGATGAAAACACCCGATGACAAATCGAGCATTCATGAACTTTCGATTTTCTTTTGGTTTGTCCGATCGAAGTATTTCCCGTTTCAAATTGCATAGCTGAATTTGATTTTGCCGGAATAACCTCTTCGTGGGTAATAACGTCGTGTTCATCCTCGTCGTCCTTGCGGGCGGCGAAGCACCCCTTAACTTTCTTGTGACTGGCTCGGTGTCCACCCAAGGCTTGATGCGAGTTGAACACTTTTTTGCACGATTTGCACTCGAACATTCCTTTGGCGACACCCTTGGATTTCGCCATCGGAACCTTACACGAAATCGGAGAAATGAAATTCATCACGGGACTGTTCCTTCTCCCGTCCTCTTTACTAGCGGAAGCGCAAGATTCTTCAGGTTCCGTTGATGAAGGATCAACCTTTGCGCTAGATAACATCATTAAACAATTGGCAAGATCTTCTTCCTCGCTTGATGGGGAAATTGGATTAGAGTCATTGCCCACGTTAGACCTCAACGATCTTTTCCTTTTAGACCATCCGCACCCTCTCCTGGCCGTACCATCGTCGTTGTCAGATGCCTGCAAGGAAACCAACGATTCTGCTTCCTCGGAATTGCATTTACCATGTTCAAGAAAAGATTTCCATGATGAAAATTCTTTCCCACAATTTTCGCAAGCCCGACAACAACTTTTCAGTCTGTTAGTGTCTGTTCTTAAAGCGTACATGCGTTTGTTACTCGGTGACACGTTGGTTTCTACTTTGTGATCTTCCCAATCAATGGCAGGATCATCGTCGTCAATGTGGCCGCTGTCGCCGCCGCCGCCGCTTCCATGTGCCCTCATGTGGCCTCCCAATCCTCTCCCACACCCAAATCCCTTGTTACAAATTTTACAGTAGTACTTGAAATCTGCAGGTTGTTGTTGATCAATAACAAAAGCCATGCAAAGAAAAAAAAAAAAAAAACGGGGATTGAAAGAATGGGGGAGAAAGGGGAAGGAATGAAATTGTTCTTGTAAGGGGGCAGTAGTCCTGGTTTTTAGTCGGAGTAATGGTTAGTTTTGTGGATGAGGGGGAGAGAGTAAGTGTGGTGACAAGTGGTAGGAGAGGAAAGAGGGTGAGAGACTTTTTCTACGACCATGTGGTGGTGGCGCCGCCGGTCAAAGGAACCTGCAGCTGCGGTGATCCATAAGACTTGCAGTTTTACTGCTCTAAAATATGGATGTGGGAGTAGTGTGTGTGTGTGTGTCAGTAAATGATGGAGTGAGTGAAAGGGATTAAGATCAGAGAGTGGTTCTAACTGCCATACCTATTCATATCCCTTCAATTCCAAGCCAAGAAAACTAACTCATGCTTCTCCTTTTCTGTCGGTTGGTTTAAGCTGCTTTTCCACACGATTTTTATCAAAGTATTACTAACTATTATTACCTGTTATTATTATACACTAGCTAACCCATTTTAGGGATTGTGCTTCGCTTTCACTGTGCTTAAATATGGATCTTCTCTCTTTCTTTATTACTTTAATTGAGAGATCAAAACAGTAATATTTTATAATTATAATGTTTGTAAGTTTACAATTTTAAGTAATATTAAATAAAATATAATATGATATTAAACGATTAGTTATATACAATATCATACGTAAATTATTTAATGAAAATAAATAATTATATAAAGCCACATCTTATTAGAAAGTTATAATGTTACGTAATATTGTAATTATGGTATTTTCGAAATAAAAAGGCGATGCATATTGATTTATCAAATTAAGACCTCTTTAATAACATGATTAAATGAAAAGCTAATGAGCTGTATAATTAAGGGTAAAAGGCAGTGAACAAATTTAAAACCATTACAAAGATGAACAAATGGATGTTTGTGGATTAATCTAATCAGCATAATATGTTGAATATCAGTTAATTATGACTAGTTTAAATTGTGGGTATGTGTGTCTAGGAAAGAATTTGGTAGGTAAGTAAGTTTGCAATGGTGCAATAATTACATAGTAATTAGTGAACTCTAGTCTAAGGTAGTACTTTGCTTCAATTAGTGCAATTAAGAGTGGGTTTAGTCTCTAATCAATCAAGTAATGATAGTTCTATTACTTTAGTTCAAAGCATTCACAACTCACGTCGCTACTTACTAAATCACTGAAAGTGAACAAGTAAACAGCACGGATTCTTTGGTAGTAACAGTATAGGCATGGCAAAGTTGAAGCATCAACTCATGTACTTAGCTGCATCGTTCTTTAAGGACCTGCACAATACATGATTAGCTTATTAAGTTTGATGAAAGCAATCACCTACCTTTTCATTTGAGCAAATTTACTATTGAATTTTGTTATTATAATGTGGTCCTTAAGTAATTCAGGCATATCATTTTTTTTTTTAATTTGTGAATGTGGTGGGTGTTGACGTGCCAAAATGGATGGAGTCGCCATCTATCCTAATGAGGTGGGATAGATCACCAAGGTCTTCGTAGAAATTGACTAGGTTCGGAGGGTCGGTTAAGCATGGGGAAGGTATTAGGCACCCCACAACTTCCAAATAATATGGTTACCACATACTTTAATTTTGGGAACTTTTCAATTTTATATAACAAAATAATAATAATAATCACCCAAGAATTATAAAGTAAAAAAAACAAAGAAAAACTTCAAAACCCCATTATAGTCTTTTTCCCGTCCCCTTTCTTTTTATTTATTTTGTCTTTTTTTTTTTCATCAATGATAGCTACCTAACAAAAATCACTTTAAAGAAATACTGTTCATTATCATCTACCTTTTTCTTGTTCCTGTTTCTTTTGTTTCTTTATTTCTTTTTTCTGCAGCTTTCCTCTACTTCCGTTTCTGCTTCTTTTTTTATCTAATACATTCCTAAGAAAAACCAAGACTTCATACAAGGAAAACAGAACTGAACAAGGCTATTCCATGGGTTTTGCTTAATTACTTTAATTAAACTAATCTAATCACATCCTCCAAGTCTTTCCTCCCCAAGAATCTAATCCAATTAAAGAAAATACATGAAACAAAACAGCCATGTTGACGCAAAGTGATAAACAATACCCATATTACCTTAAATCAACAACTTAAGTGCATTAGATAAAAATTATGAAAGGCTACTTCCAACTTTCTCAAGATCCGTTGCAGAAGGAAACAATTTAACAAGGAAAACAAAGCAATTTCCGCAAAAAGACATAACAGAACAACACCAAAACAATTAACAGTGCACACCTGAAAAATACAAAAGATCAAGCTTTATTTCCTTGAAGATCTGGTTACAAGTTGCTGCACTTTCTCTCAATCTTCGAATCCCTCTTTTTCCCCAATTTCCTCTCCTCTCTTCTTCCTCAGATTCCCCAATTTTTCCCCGATTTTCGACCTCCCCGTTCAAAGCCGAAGCTTCCCCTTTTATACAGAAACAGGGAGGACTCCAACCCTTTTTCTAACTCTCAATTCTAATCCCAATCCCCAAAATTACAGATAATAATCTAATCCTATTTGAATTTGGAATCCTAAAATTACCCTAGCCTTTACACATCTTCCCTTTTTCAAGTCTAGATTCATACCTTTAATCAACTTCGAAAATCCTCTGCGACTCTTGATAAGAACTTCAAATCCGAAAATCTCTTCTTTGTTGTGGGCTATCCAAACTTTGAATGGATAAGGAATGGATAAGAGAAATCTTAGAGATAATCGGCGGCAAAAGGAAGAAATAAGATTTTTGGGAATCTAGGGTTCGACAGAACTCTGGGCTTTGTTTTTATTTCAGCTTACAGGCAAAACGACGACGTTTTGCTAGTTCTTCATCTCAGCCCTTCAAGCTTTACACTTTTTGCGAAATGGTCCATGAACTTTTACTTTTCTCACTTAGCCCCAATTAAAAATTGGGTTATGACAGTTGCCCCCTCTTTACTTTTCTTTTGTAAAAGGAAAAGTAAAGAATAAAAGAATAACCCAATTGAAAACAATGTATAAGTGAAAGTTGCAGCCTTCATCTTATCTTTTGCCAGATACGGTCTTTAGGATGTGACTT